GAAATCTGAGTTGTTATTATATAAGTGCCTGCGGGGTCAGCCTGGGTAAGTGCTAGTCTGCAAATGCAGCATGGACTCCCTCTCCTCTCCTGCTTCTCTCAATTCCTTACTGATTTCTCTTGGGAACACTTCTGTAATAAATCACTGACATATAAATAAATCCTTGCTTCAAGGTGTGCTTCTGGAGACTCTGTCTTAAGACTGTCTTCTAAATAGAAAGGTATATAAAGAAATCCCAGGACTCAGAAAGGGAATATGACAAAGAGTCTCACAAAAAGATGGATTAACCTATTACCATCCCAACATGATTTTAAGGAAGACTGTAAAAACATTTTGCTTGAGTATTTGACTGCTACTAATATTGGAAATGCCAACATGAGTGACTTATTCTGTAAGCTCTGGGCCCTTGCAGGTTCACCATATCCTGTTACTCCAGGAAAGAGGCATGTGTAGCTCAAACCTTCATCTCCACCACCAAAATCACCCAGGATTTTGAATGCTACTAGATCACTGTGTTGTTGGGGAAGAAGGTGAGTTCAGATTTGTCAAATGTTAACCTGAAGAATCCACTATATTTAGGGGGATGCATAGATTATCGGTGGCATCTATTTATGGCCAGACACAGGCTGGTCAGTGTTTGGGGTCAGAATGCCTTCACTTTGGGGTTTGCTTTTGAAGCAGAAAGCAAGCAGGGCAAATGATATACATGAGATTAGAATATAGACTAGTGGCTGCAATAACTAGGAGGCACACCCAGAGCTGGGGGATCTCATCCCCCCAGAAGGAGGAATCAGGTCAGAACAGCTCTGAATTGTGGGTTCACTCTTTGCAATTGATACCATTTCAGACTTAATGAGGGAGTCCCCATAGTTTACCCTAACACCACTAAACAAATTCTTGCTGTGCCACAGTCAGATAACTGAGTCATTTCTGAGCTTCATTTATTGCTATGTCACTGAGCCTCACTGTTGCAGTTTTAGTGCAACAACCTGGCTATGTTCTACCACAGACAAGTATTTTGGGGTTTTTTTAGTGAACAACCCATTTAAACCAACTTTGGTGGTAGCAGTTATTGCTTACTAGAGTTATTTAAAGAGGCCTGTATAGACCTATGGAGGGGAGCAAAAATCTTATATCCTCCTTTGCATCATATAAAAGATGACCTAGTGATATTAGATGATGACAAGAATTGGGGTTAGGCTACAGATACCCTCAAACTCAAGTAAGATGCAGATCCCTTTGAAAGGAAGTATTCATGCAATCTTAGTTTGAGTCTCCTCTAAAAACAGACCCTGGGACAAGAATCCAAATGCAAGTAGTTTAGGGAATACCAGTAAGGAGTAGAGAAGTGTTACAAGGAAAGGAAGATAATCTATTAGAGGTGCACCATTGAGTCAGCTACTATGTTGAAACACTGGAGATATCCCACCTGAATTATTCTACCAAGTTGAAGAAGGGCTCAGATATTTATAAACCTACCTTGCCACTCACTGAAGACTGCTCCCTAAGAGTGCTAATTCCCCAGAACTTCTAGCCTGCCACAGATAGGCAGGGTTCCAGAAAAAAACTTCAAACAGAGATGGCACATATCAATAACGGAAAGTCACTGAAGCACAATGAAGTAGTTTTGAGACAATTGCAAAATGTGTATTCTTATGCACCTGTTTACCTAGAAACTGAGTTACAGGGACATACAATTGGCCCAAGTAAAGAGTAATGACAACTTTGTATTTGAAGCATACCCAGGATGTACAGGGAACTTCAAGGCTCATGGCAGGTTGGCTTTCCAACAGTTCTCAGAGAATGCATGGTAACACAAATACTTAAATGGGAAAAATGAAGTCAGCTAAAAATCCAGCACCCCTTTATGATAAAAACTCTCAGCAAAATGGGAATAGAGGGGTTTTACCCTCAACATATTATAGGCCACATATGACAAACCTACAACCAACATCACACTCAATGGGAAAAAACTAAAAGCATTTCCCTTATGATAGGGATGTCTGCTTTTGCCACTCTTATTCAAAATAGTACTGGAAATCCTAGCCACAGTGATCAGAAAGAAGAAAACATAAAAGGCACCCAAAGTGGAAAGGAGGAAAAAAAACTGTCATTATTTGCAGATGACATGATATTGCACATGTACAGAAAACCCTAAAACTGCTAGATTTAATAAATAAATTTGGCAAAGTAGCAGGATACAAAATTAATACCCAGAAATCAATGGCATTTTTATACACCAATAAATAACCCTCAGAAAGAGAAAATTTTAAAAAGCCCACTTTCCATTGCAACAACAACAAAAAAAAATAAGATACCTGGGAATAAACTTAACCAAGGATGTAAAAGACCTGTATTTGGAAAGCTTATAAGACATTGAAAAAGGAAATAGAGGAAGACATTAAAAAAGTGGAAGTATATACCTGTGCATCGATTGGAAGATTAAAATGTCCATCCAACCAAGAGCAATCTACGGATTCAATACAATCCCTATTAAACCACCAATGCATTTTTCACGGATCTAGAATATTCCAAAATATATACAGAAAAACAAAAACAACAACAAAAAACCAAATAACCTCAGCAATCTTGAACAAGAAGAACAAAGTTGGAGGGATCACAATACCATATATCAAAGCCATTGTAATCAAAACAGCCTGGTACTGGCACAAGAATAGGACAGAACAGAGACATCAGAAATTGACCCATGCCATCATGCTCAATTAATATTTGACAAAGGTGGTAACAGCACACAAGAGAGTAAATAGTATTGGGAAAATTGGACAGGTACATGAAAAAAAATGAAACAAGACCACCAACTTACACCATACACAAGAATACACTCAAAATGGATAAAAGGCTTAAATGTAAATCATGAAACCATAAAAATGCTAGAAGAAAAAATGGGCAGTAAAATCTCAGACATCTCACGTGGCAGTATTTTCACCAATACATCCCTTAGAACAGGAGAAACAAAGGAAAAAATAAACAATTAGGACTACATCAAACTAAAAAGCTTCTGCATGGCAAAAGAAACCATCAACAAAATGAACAGGGAAACTAATATTTTCCAATTATACATCTGATAAGGGATTAATGTCCAAAATATTTAAAGAATTCATACATCTTAACACCAGGAAGACAAACAATCCAATTATAAAATGGCCAAAGGACCTGAGTAGACACTTCTCCAAAGAGGACATACAGATGACCAACAGACACATGAAAAAATGCTCAATGTCACTAATCATCAGAAAGTTGCAAATTAAAACTACAACGAGGTATCACCTCTCCTCTACCAGAATGGCTACCATCAATAAATCAACAAGTGCTGGTGAGGATGTGGAGAAAAGGGAACCCTGCTGGTGGGAATGCTCACTGGCACAGCCACTGTGGAAAACTGTATGGAGGTTCCTCAAAAAGAGGAACCATTTGACCTAGCAATCCCACTTCCGGGAATATATCCTAAGAATCCTGAAACACCAATCAGGAAGAATATATGCACCCCTAAGTTAATAGCAGCCCAATTTACAATAGCTAAGATCTGGAAACAGCATAAGTGCCCAGCAGTAGCTGAGTGGGTAAAAAAAAGCTGTGGTACATTTACACAATGGGATACTATGCAGCTGTGGCACCATGGAACTGGAGACTACTATGCTAACCAAAATATGCCAGTTAGAAAAAGACAAATATCACATGACCTCACTTATAAGTAGAAACTAAAGAACAGGATAAACTGATGAAAAAAATAAGTGCAGAGATATGGATGCCTGGGCAGAATTACAGATTTCACTTAGGGGGGTGGGGGGGAGGAAGAGATTAACCAAAGAACATATATGCATAATCCATGGACACAGATAATTGCAAGAGGAAGGCCTGGGGTGGGGAGAGGGTTAGGTGAGTGGGGGGGCATAATGGGAGAAAATGGGAGACATTTGTAATACTGTAATACTGTCAACAATAAGGTAAACATTTTTTGAAAAGAAAAAATGAAGTCAGCTGATGGGTTTGATAATGGGTATGGGTTTTGCCATAACTGATGTGTTAAATCCGTAGCTCCAAGATTTTAATGAAAATATACTTAAAGCACAAAAACAACTATGTGACAGAAATTACATCTGTTGTAATTAGTAAAATCATGATACAAAATTTTAGAATTTTAAAGTAGGCTTGTATAAAGAGGGTTTAGTTAAAATTATTTTTAGTTTAAAAAATTCATAAGTTAAATGAGCAAAAGAATATTTTAAGATCACTGTAGCTCAGTAATACTGCACTACCAGAACATTCCTAAGTCAAAATTCTTGGTTGCCAGCCTGAAGCCAGAGACAAACTTGAGCTGATCTACGCAGAAAAGGAATTTATTAAAGGATGTTGAGTGGCCCACATAATTGTGACAGAGGCCGGAGGACAAGATGCAGAAGTTACACAGCCAGCCATACAGCATGTCCCAGGCACACAGGAAAGCTGGGCCCCTGCGGACACCGGTGTCAAACAACAGAGGGAAGCTCGCTGGCTCCAGGGCTGCTGGCTGGCCAGCCCCTGTGCCTGCAGCCACCAGCGGCACTGCCGGCCTGGCTCCCTTAGGAAATGCTCTCGCTGCAACTGCCCTAACAGAGCGCCTGTCTTATTCCTGGTTATATGTGGTTTCGAACAGATCACAGTACGTTTTAGTATATGAAATATTAACCACTTGGGAGTGACTTGCAGACAATTTTGTGGGAACGCTGTGATGAAAACAGATGCTTCAACTTTTCAGAAGAAAAAAGCTGACACTGCAGGAGTTATTTCAAACCCACAATTCTTCTTCAGTTAAGGAATCACAAGCCTAACTGAAATTGGAGATTTTGTAAATAAAAATAAAAATAAAAAAAAGCCATAGCTCCTCAGGGAGTCTCACACACCTTTTCCAATCTGGCTTCAATTTCTTAAAATAAGTAAATAAAAAACGCCGCCAAGTTGGAGCACTTTTAGAGGCATCTGCAGAATACGCGAACCTGCTTTTTGTCGGTGTGTTTATCTCAGTCCCAGGCCATCCAGCTTCCAAAAGACTGTCGGCCCCTGTGGGAGAAGGCGGGACTCCAGCCCCCGGCGCCGACATTTCACAGAACAGCACTCATCTCATTCCGTTTTCCCTGTCTTCCCTCAACACTTTCCCTAGTACCTTCTACCCACGCCTTTCCCTCCGCTGGGAAGCTCCTCGCTCTCCCACTTCCACGCTGCGACCCCATCTTCCCCCTCCGACCCCGATGAGCAGCGCCACCCGCGAGCCTCCGCGGCGCGCGGCTTCAGAGAACAACCCCCGAAAATCGGCGGAAAACTACTGCGCACGCGCACGGAACTCGCGCCGCTTGGCCTCACGGGTACGATGGGCTGGTTTCTCCGTCTCTGATTCGCGGAGGCCACGGTGTGGGAACTCTCGCGGTATTTGCTGTGGGCGGCTAGTGGGCTGCTGGGGCTGCTGCAGCTCCTTTTGCCGCCCGCTCCTCTACGCTGCTCCGAGTGTCGGCCGAGCACCATGACTTCCGCCCTGGAGAACTACATCAACCGTATCCTCTGGCGGCCGCCGCCGGCGCTGGTAGAGCCGCGGTGAGGGAGGCCCACGCTCGACCGGAGAGGGCCTGGGCCGAGCGGCGGGCGGTTAGGACTTCCGGCCACTGCGTGACCCGGGTACTGGGAAGGATCCGGGACCCACCAATCCCGCGCCCGCGGCAATTACGGGCCCAACGCGCCGTTTCATTTTAACCTTTAAAGCATGTGATTATTCTGAACTTTTCGCTGTCTGTGGAAGTCATCGATTTATTCATCCTTACTACTTCCCTAGGGCCTGGGCCGTGAAGTTTGGGAATAAAAGGAACAGTCGTCCTACCGATGACGATATTGTTGTAAACCCATGTGCTGCACTTGTTTTAATCGTGGGCTTTGCTCATTGTCCGGCCCCTTTACCACCGGAAGTCTCAACCTCTTTGTGGATAGAAGGGAAATGTCGCAGGGGACACGGAACTTCAGAAAGCCTCCGGGAGGTCGCCTAGCGCGCTGTGCATGTTGACAGTCTTAAAGCCTCGGGGCAGAAAGGCTACATGGGGTGGGGGGTGGGGGTGAAATACTCTAGAGGTAATGCTGTAAAGCACCTTTATTCCTGTGATCACAGCTTTTCTTCTCAATTCCAGAAGCCACATCCTGGAAGACAGTGCCTTCTCACGCTAGCAATCACTCAGCATTAATTTAGCCCGAATCCATGTTAGGTTTAGAGATGAGAGCACCGGTCTAGGAGAGGGGGCGTGCCCTGCTCCGAGTCCAAGGTCCCAGATGGAAAGAGGACCGCACATCCCCGCTGCTCTGGGACAGACGGGTTATGCTTGGTCACATACAGACGCTGATTTTCTTTTTCTGTCTCTACCTTTTCTAATGGCCACAAGGAGTTGAAGGAGTTAGAAACTTCACGTTTTTATGTTGTGAAGGTGGTGTGTGTGTGTTGAATAGCTGTCTCTCAATTCTGTCACCTTTTCCCCCAGCGATGCAAACCACTTCCTTACCAGGTTCTAAGGTTTCAGGTTGCATTCCCTGCGAAATGCTTTCCTTGACTCAGTTACCAGGAACTGTTGCTGTGATTACTTCGGATGGGAGGATGATAGTGGTGAGTACTGGGCACATTCATTCATTCTCTGCTTTCTTGGAGGCTTATTGGTTGCAAGGTTTTCTGTAGAAGCCCTGACCTGTGGTGCCTAGGCGCTGTAGTGTTCCTCTGTTCCTGCATTAGTTTTCCTGTGACTCAGCTCTTCACCTCAAAGGTTACCCTGGTCACAGACAGAAAAGGGTTTTTCTTTCTCTATTTTTTTCCCTTTTCTAATTGTGTCATTATCACCAGGAAGTGGAGGAGTTAGAAACTTAAGTTTTTATGTTGTGAATGTAGTATTTTTTCTCTATTAACAAATTTGAATATTAGTTAAAGGCTTCTAGAAGCTAAGCTGAATAATAGATTCTGCCCTCAAAGAGCATCTAGTCTAGTATGCAGATATCTGTCTGTATTTCATATTTATCTGTTCCAGTTTTTTTTAATATATTTTATTGATTTTTTACAGAGAGGAAGGGAGAGGGATAGAGAGTTAGAAACATTGATGAGAGAGAAACATCGATCAGCTGCCTCCTGCACATCTCCCTACTGGGAATGTGCCCGCAACCCAGGTACATGCCCTTGACCGGAATCGAACCTGGGACCCTTTAGTCTGCAGGCTGACGCTCTATCCACTGAGCCAAACCGGTTAGGGCTTTGTTCCAGTGTTTATTTCCTTTTCCATTCAGTGCTCTGATATTCACTACATGAATCGTATTTTTTGGAAAGTTTGTGTATGCTTCTTAGAATCTTTTTTTATGATTAACATACTACATCTATGGAACATTTAAGGTGTGTATGGTGTTAATATTCTTTGACTATTCTAAAGTTGTATGACCTCTTTTCTGTAGGACACATTATGATGATTGACCCTAAATTTATTTAATCTCATGTGTCTGTTTATCACAGTGTCCCCTTTAATTCCAGAAAAATTTGGGATTCTCTCCTTGACCTCTTCCTTGATCTGAGGAATTTATTCCATAATTTTTGGCTATTTAATTATTTCTTCACTTATAATTCATACAGCTATTTGCTTTCAAAAAAGTTTTAAGGCTACTGAACTTTCTATATTCTAACCGTATCTAATTTATATAATTTAATCTCTCATTTTTCCATTCTGCAATTCTGCTTTTGTTTCTTGTTTTCTATTTAATTCTTGTGGTTTTTCTCAGTAGGTTCTTAGAAGATTACCAGAGTGTTAGATTTTGCCATTTATTAAATTACATTATCATTTAATCTTCAGGACAATGGGTGAGAAGAATTACCCTTGTATTCTAGGTTAGGCACCAAGTTCAGAAAAAGTGAGTCACTTTCCCAGAGTCACCTGTGATCAAGTGGCAGATCCAATCTGGGCTTTATTTCCTTCTTAATCAAGAGAACAATCATGTTTTCTTTTAGGTAACCTCACCTTATATTTTGTCAAGGACAGTTTGAAATATTTTAATCTCAACACTTCAAGAAGCCTTCTGCTATTAACACATATTTGCAAGTAGTTGTTTTGTTTTGCAAAAACATCAAGTTTAAATTTTTCTATTGTTAAAAGGATATGTAGTGAATTGGAAAATTATTTTGATTTTATGAAGGAAGGGAAGCTATTTAAAAACAGCATTTAGAGTCCTAAAGTTCAGCTGTTCTGCATTTCTTTGATGCATGGTACACTTGATAGAACAGTTCTGTGTAAAATGAAGCCAAAATGCTAGGTATGTGTGTGATAACTATTTGCTAATTAGTTTACTATAGACAGTACTCCTTATTTTCTCTTTATTTCATTCTGATTTTATATATCTTGGTTTTCAAAACATGAAACAATAGGGAGCTTCAGAGATTTAAACAACCAAACAAATATAAGTTCATGTTTCTTCAAAAAATTGAATAGACTCGAGTTATTGTGCTGTGCTATATTTCCTTCATCGTCCAGTTCTAATTATTGCAGTCATGTTTGTATCTACCTTATTGGGTTATTAGGAGGATTGAATAACTATATGCATGTGAGGCCCCTAGAACAGTTTCTGCCAAATAGTAAAATACTCATTTATTGTGTTACTGTTAAGAACAGTTGAAGTTTATACATCTTTATGGGACTTATCTGAATCTCTTAAGAATGTGCATTATATTTGCTTGTTTGTAGCAGTATAGTAGTTCACTTGTCTGTCTTTGAAGCTGTCCTTTTGTGGTTCACATCCTAGCTCTGCTGCTTTCTACCTGAGAAACCTTGAGAGATTACTTAATCTCCCTGTGCCTCAGTTTTTCTTCTCTGAAGTGGGAATAATTATATGTACTTAAAGGAAAAGATTAGTTGAGATAATATGTGCAGTGTGTTTGGCACAAGTCTAGTAGTAGTATGTTGCATGAAGTGATATTGCTACATTGCAATAGCTGGTATATATGATTCCATACACATATACACACACAAGGGTGGCAAAAGTAGGTTTACACTCATGAGGATGCAAAACAGTTTATTCTTGTGTGATATATTTTTCCATACAAGCAACTGTAAACCTACTTTTGCCCAGCCTTGTATAATTTTCCCTTAAATTTCACTTGTTTTAGTTTGTGTCTTTAGAATGTTAGCTCCTGGATGGGCTTTTTTGCTACTTTCTTGGAAATACACTGGTACGTTGGTGTCCTTTGTAAGTCTAAACAACTCTGCACACTAATGAAATGTGTGGTGTAGTTTCTTTTACCCCGTAAAAAAAGCAAGAGGTATCCCAACATGGATACCCCGGGAGGTCACTCTCCCCGGGCTCTGTCCAGGTGGCCTAGGGGAGCATAGGGCTCTGCCCCGTGATGTACAGTCCCTTTCCACAATGTTGGAGAGAAAGCCGGGCCTTGAGTCTGCGCCTGCATATTCCTACAACTTCTCAGAGTCCTGTGGACGATGACTGAGGAGACAAACCATGCAGGAAACATCTAGTAAAAAAAAGTAAAAAAAAAAAAAAAGCACGAGGTAAGTTTTGTGCCAGAATATTTTAATTATAAAGAGGAATTATATTTTACAATGGACTTTTATATTTCTATAGGAGGGCCCAGCAACTAAAATTATTGTCTGGTTAAATTTACACATTCAGGTAAACCTGAATACTTGAACTTTTCTTTTTACAGGGAACACTGAAAGGTTTTGACCAGACCATTAATTTGATTTTGGATGAAAGCCATGAACGAGTGTTCAGCTCTTCACAGGGAGTGGAACAAGTGGTACTAGGCTTGTACATCGTAAGAGGTGACAACGTGTAAGTGAAATGTGTCTTCTTTAAGGCAGGTTAAATATACTATAGGTGTACTGCCCTGCTATGTGGAGAGGAGGTTTTTATCTACTGAGATTTGTCCATATTTTTAATAGTTAAGTGGTCTGGATAGGTTTCAGAAAGGGCCTCGACTTACACTGAATAATTCATTAGGGAGGCTTCTTAGAATGTTCTTCCAAAATTCCTCTTAGTTTCAGAGGAATATAAATATACAAGTATTCCTATGGTACCAAAGCTAAGGTTTGAAAATTTCTTTGAAATATTTTGCATGAACAATTTTAAATGATTCCTGTTATATAAATAGAGCTGAATTTATAAACAAGTATATATTATTTTTAAAAAATTTTTAGTATAATTGGCACGCTAAGTATGTGCTTTGTTAATGCTGTGGTCTCAGTTATTTTGTGACACACTGATAGGGCAGTTTAAGAAGATATATTGTAGTGGTGGCAGTTTAAGAAAAGTCTGCAACAATGTAGAACAAAGCTGTTCAGTAGACCTTTTGGGGTGGGAGTGGTGGAAATGCTATATATCTGCATTAAGGTAGGTACCACTAAGGTAGGTACTAGCCGTGTATGGCTGCTGAGTACTTGGAAAGTGGCTCGTGTGGCTGAATAACTGAATTTAAATTTTATTTAAATATAATTCAATACATGTGGCTAGTAGCTACTGTATTAGTGCATTATAGCAGCTAAAAGATTGTTGAATCAGTTTTCTAGTGAGTACTGTATAGATTTAAAACATGGCTGGAATGCAGCAAAAGATATATTAGCATCTCACATTATTTGCGGGGACAGGTAGGACATAGAAGATGTAAGAATACCGTTCATTTGAATTATTTTAGGAAAATCCTCTTTGGATGGATAAATTACTGGGTTTTTAATCTAAATCAGAGGTTTATAAATTTTAGAGATGACTATTAGGTGCAAAGTTATAAAGAGAGCTATAAAAAATAAGAAGGCTAAGGAAGGGGGGCCCAGGTCCCCTGACCAGAACACACTGATTTTTTATATTGCGGCTCTGCATAAAAATTGATTTTAAGAATCTCCTACATTAAAAATATTTTTGAACTGCAATTTAAAAAAAATGTAGATCTTTGCTGTAGACCCAGTGGTGCTGAAGCCAGCTTATACTGGCTTTTGAAAGCAGATTGTTGTGTTTTCAGTTTTGTAAGCTGGTTGATAATGTCTTGTTGGCAGCTTGATATCGGGTATAGCAGGAGTATTTGCACTATGGATGTCAGTAAATAAAACTGTAAACCAGCTTCCCACTTTTTTC